CCGTTCCCGTTATTTTTCTGGCATTATCTAAGATTCTCTGAAGTTCCCGTAATTTACCAGGAAGTCAGGGCACTTCTTTGAAGTTCTGTGGACTACTGCGAAGTTCCCTAATCTTTTCTGAAGTTCTATCAATTTCTTTGGACTTTCCTGAACTTATCGGGACTGCTCTAAGGGAGCATCCATTAATTACGTTATGCAAAAATTGGCCGAAACTAGCTCCCTCTTGTTGGCTAGCTTGAGCTTCCCAACAAACAATTTTAGCTGCAGCTTAGCTTATACAGACACAAATTAGCTGCATAAGGTAAATTTTGACTGTATAAGCTAATCTGCAGCTAAAATTGTTTGTTGGGTTGAAACCCTAGAGCTTCAAGGTCGGCTCCTGGCTTGTCGATAATAATCAGAAGTACAAAACACCTTATCGTTATTTTCAACTCTTTTATTACTTACGGTTTTGGTGTCTGTAGTGTGGGGTTTTTCGGCGGCGGATGAACGGACTGTTCACAGTGGATGCCGGTGCTCGACGGTTGTCACCGTGTGGCACGACGGATTTTGCACTGGGGCTCGATCGGGTGATCGACGGTGTTCTCTAAGTGGTCGTCTGTGTATTACCGATGGACGCTTGCTACACGGGTGTTGGCGTGTTAACGGACGCCCTCGTGGTTTAACTCGTAATTAATGGGGCCTAAGGGGAATATGAGAGGTGGTCTTAGGGCTGAGAATTCCGCTACCGGGTTATTAATTGGGTCCTACCTGACTCCGTATTCAGTGGTATTAGCTGGTATTTGTTGGCGACTCTGTATATTTCCCAAGTAACAATTTGGGTTTTATGAGGGTTCTGTAGACCATGATTTTGACTTGTAGAATTCTATAAAACCACGATAAAACTTGCAATGTTGCTTGGGTTCACTTCTTTTCAAAACTTATAACAAACTTGGCAGATCGATCTATATCGCGCAATGGCTGAAGTGAAAGAAAACCTTCTCTTCAGTTTGACCCAGTAGCTTCCCCCTTGACCTAAGCCCATTTCCACCTCTCTTCCACTTTTCCACCACCCCTTGTCCATATCCTTCTCCTGTTTCCAACGCCCACCTTCATCCTTACTCCTTCTCGTTATGTATTATGTGTTGTTGGTGTGACTGGGTTACAATATTTAATTGGACTGTTGGTTTGGGAGTGGTCTTTTATTTGACTTACATATTTCATTATATTCACATTCAGAAACAAGACAATATTGCATACAAGAAACTGACATGCTGATTTAATTCACAATGAGTACACATATACCCTATTCCTCGCTCTCGCTATCTCATGATATTTCTCGCTCGAAGTGAATCAATAAGGTACAGGAACCAAAACGGTAACAACTGTTACGTAACGATGAACGATCTAAAAAACTAAAGTTCTTTGGACTTCTTGTACGTTATACAGATTTCCGGGAAGTGCTTTGGATTGAAGTTCTATAGGGTTCTTGGATGTTCTATGGACTATACGGAAGCTCTACTCTGACTTTTGGAACTTTTTACCAACTTCCCAAAAGTTCTCCAGACTTCTCGAAAGTTCTATGGTCTTTTCGGAAGCTCTGCAGACTTTTTGGAAATTATATGGACTTTTTGGAAGATTTACGAATTTTTCATAGATCTTCCGATATGTTCTTCCGACACGCTCACGGATTTTACGACAAGTACATGGATCCTCCAAAAAGTCCAATGGAAGTTCTGGCTAATATATGGATCTTACGAATGTTTTGCCATTTTTTTAACTTCACGATACTCTCAATCATTGCTGAGATTTGTCATTGTCCTTGGTAGACTTTCACGAGATATTGACAAAATTGTTTTTCCCATACTAGTTGGGTGCTGGGTGTCGCGCAAGCTTACTCCTGACCAAAAACACGAACGCGAGAGCACTTGAAAAGAGTGTTTGGACTTGCTGATGCGGAATCGGGCGAACTTTTGTCGTCGATTGATAACTGTTGATGAAACCTGGATCCGCAACCTGAAACCTACACCGCAGAGAACAGAATGAGTGCCCGGCAATGGACTAAAGTCGGAGCACGAGTGCTCCGAAGTGGCCGAGGGAGGCTCGATGGGTCGGAAAGGTTATGGCGTCGGTTTTCTGGGATTGTCAACGCATACTCTTCGTGGACTACCTCGAAAAACAGTCAGTATTACTGTGCATTATTGGAGCGATTGAAGGCCAAAATCGTTGCAAAACGGCCTCACACGAAGCCGGTGCACAAGAGCATCGCAACCACGCAAAATCAATGACTTACGGCTCCAATTGCTTCCGCATCCACCGTATTCGCCCGATTTGGCTCCCTCAGCAGACTTGGTAAAAACACCGCTCGGTAGCAACCACAGCACTGGGTTTCTTCGAAAAAGCACCCGGTGTCGGGGCAACATGTTGGCACGCCACCGCACCAAAAGAAAAACCCGAACGCGGTGCTACGGGCTTCGGCTCGCCACCGTGCGGCACGGAGCCAACGAACCGCTCATTGGTGATGCGCTATACTCGGTCCCATTTGCGTTTTTGTCAAAACTGAGTTTTTCAATGGAAGTGTAGAAAGTAGCTCATAGTTTCATTATCCTACTCGATGAACTCAAGAAATTTGTTGTGAAATAGTTTAGAAAAATGGGCATGCAAGGTGCGAAGCAAACTTAAAACGCGTTCTTAATTGCGTCTGTCATTTCTCTCGACAGGAACAGGGTCCGTCGGATACGGATGTGTTGGCCATTTCAAGACCAACAATTGAAATGGCCTTAACTCCATTTCGTAAACAAATCTTGTAAGGCCATTTTCTCGTGAACCGAAACCTTCATTCGCAAATCTAAACCACAATCGGGTAGAGGAGAATTCCGGAGTGATTTGAGATTTGGGCGTAATAGCATTTGTAAACAAACACGTCAATATAGCGGTGCCGGTGGTGTAGTGGTAAGCGTGATTGCCTCTCATCCCAGCAGGCCTGGGTTCAATCCCAGTCGGCGCCGCCGGGATGTTCTGAGGCATAATCTCTGATCACGCCTTCCTTCGGAGGGAAGTAAAGCCGTTGGTCCCCGGTTCATGAGTTGATGGGTCGATAGGTAGGGTCCAGGTGTGGGAGCTGCCTCCCTAGCGTCGGTAGCATTGGTGCTCAGCACGGAAAACAAGATCGACGGAAAACAAATCAAGGAAAAAAAAAACACGTCAATCACCAATTTCTCGCGAATGAAAGCTCAATCTCAAAAACTAATAACGCTATGAGGTAGAGGAATGATTCCTCTATCATTAGGTATAGTTTGTTTATGAGATTGAGCTTTAATTCAAAAGAAATCGGCAATTGACGTCTTTGTTTACAAAAGCAATTACGCCCAAATCTCAAATCACTCCGGAATTTCCCCTACCTGTTCATTATGTTGGTTTGCCTTTGCGAACTTCGTTTCGCTAGAAATTGGCCTTACAAGGTTTGTTTACAAAATGGAGTTAAGGCCATTTCAATTGTTGGTCTTGATTTTCGAAATGTTGATAATTATTTACAACCGGGTGAAAATACTTCTTCGCTCCGATGGGCACTACGTAATAAAGAAATAAAAACGAAACGCCTGTCATCTACGAACAACTCGAATCAAGCAAAATATTTAGATCAACCATAGAAAAGGGTCCATCAGTATTTGTAAACAAATCGTTCTAAAGCCCTTTCCTAACAAGTTTCCCCTACACGATATGGTGTTGGTTTGCGTGGGTGGCCTTCGCTTTGTGAGGAAAGGTCTTTAGAACGGTTTGTTTACAAATGCTGAAGGGCTCTTTTCTATTGTTAATTCAGAATTGTTTTTGGTGCTCTGGTGTTAATTTTACCACTCATCATTCTCGTCTACGATTATGTTTGGTACATGTTGTGCCGCGCTGCGTAAACTAAAGAAAGTTTTCTAAATAACGTTACAGTGAAGCAAATTGTATTCGCAGTAAAAAAAGAACAACAAAATTAACTTTTGATTGACCTTTGCAAGAAACAATCTATGGTTTTAAGACAATTATATTTGCCGCATTAATGCAACATGCATTGACGGCATTGGCTCTTCACAGAGTGATAGTTCCTTAGGTGCTGTTCATAAACTACGTAAACAGTTGAGGGGGGGGGGGTTGGAAATTGTCCACGGTCCATACAAATTTTAAAATTTCAGGGGGGTGGGGTCAAAAAATTCCAAAAACTGTAAACGTAGCTAATGAACAGCCCTTTTGAGATTTTTCATTTGAGCGACAGAGTACGGAACAGCCCGCCATGCTTACCGCACAGAATGACAGTTGTTTGTGGAGTTTTCTCATAGGAGTAAAGAGGTACAGTATCGCCGAAAAGGTCAATCAAAACTTAGCTACAGGTAGACTACGAAATGGAAAAAAAAAGAAGAAGAAGAAGAAGAAGCACGATATTCTGTCTGGCACCGGACCCTGGCACGGAGCCGTACGGAGCGCACCGAATAACCATAGCACGGCAACAAGCCTAATAAAACGGCTCCGCGTTCAGGTTTCTTGTTCGTATCGGTGGCGACCCGAAGAGAGGTACCGAAACCGAGTGCGTGTTAGCTTTGAACGGGGAGTTATATTCTTGCACGGCTCGCAGTGCCGGTGGGTGTTTTCCCAAGCTCAGACTATTATCTGTTCTCAAACATCAAAAGATGGCTCAACAATAAAAAAAAATCAGCTCACGTGAGGAAATCATCAACGCCGCGGAGGAGTATTTTGCGGACCCTCCGGAAAATTACTTTTCGGACGGGATCATGAAGTTGGAAAATCGCTTAATATCGTTACACTTCATTTCGTTACAAATTATGCCAATAAAAAAAACTGTACATATTTGTCACTGACAGCATTGCACTGAGAATTTTCAATATCGCCATGTATTTTAGAGATTTTGCAGCACTGATCGGAACTGTCAATATTGAAGAGGGTCACTTTTTTTTTACTTAAGTTTTTTGTTATTAAAAAATTAATTTTCTTGAAATTCTATGGAAACAAACTCAAACTAAACTCAATTAACATCAATGTCAAATTTATTGATTTTCAAACAAAATTGATTTTCCTTAAAACTAAAATTTCCATCTTTTCAAAAGATTCAGTTCAGTTGTACGTGCTCAACTTGAGTCGCGTTTCGCTCGTTCCACTCGGATGCCGTGCCTTGCAGATGAGCGTCTTGCCGCTGTCACTGGCTTTCACCACCCGCTGGAGCACCTGTTGCGTGGTGATCGCTCCCCGAGTGCTTTTCGTCAGGAATGGCGTCGAGAGGCCTTCGTAGACCAGCTGATCGTCCAAGAACCACAGGAAACTGGCTGCCGGCTTGCCATCCCGTGCTACGCATTCGACGACCATGGTCGATCCAACCTTGAATGCTCCATCGCTGGTTTGGACGTCACTCGAAACCAACAGCTGTGGAGTGGATGGCCTTACTTCCACCCCCTTGATAGCGTCCTTTTGGATGAGGTTTGCATTGTTGTGTGCTGTAGTTAAAATTTCAAAAAAAATAATTCAAAGTGTCCCTTAAAACATTCCAAAAACACGTACACTTTCTCAACTTGATTGGCAATGCCGTTTCAACGAACCCATTCGGGTACAGTTCATGTTCTGCCCGGCAGACCAACTGTTTCCGATTGTCTTCGACTGCGACCGGTTTCCGGTAGAACTGCTCAACAGTTGCCTTTTGGTTGACGACTTCGGTGAATGCAGCTCCCAGTTCGTTGGTAACGGGCTTTCCGTCCAGATGCCAGGAGAGCTTAGCGGCTGGCCATCCATTCCGGGCTGCACACCTCGCAATCAACGGCTTCCCATAGTCAAACTCACCGTTGCTGTCGTCCACATTGCTGGACACTTCAATGACCGGTAGTTCGGGAGCAACTGCTTGATTGAAATTTGATTATCACGGGAACTTAAATGTTACAAAAAATTCTAAAACGTCACCTCTGAACGCGATATCGATTGTGCCCTTGTACGTTTGGCCCGCAACGGAAAGTATGCACTCAAATGTTCCTCCATGTTTCTCCTCAACCTGCGACAACGTTACACCGCAGGATCCTCTGTTCCAACCCCGTCCGAAGTAGGTGATGCCCTGCACCGGAGTCGGCAGTCGTTCACTGGCAGCAAACGGAGCCGCCACTCCAGGGACTTTCACTATGCAAAAATCAATCGGTTGACTTCCCGGTATCTCACAAAGCAGATTGAGATTGCGATGGCCCTCGGCCACGAAGGCTGACTTTGGAGCGGTGAGCACTTCGATACCACTGCTTAGGACTGAAAATAAATTTTCCGAATTGGAGTCACTTTTCCGGATGGGATCTTCTAAATTTTGTTTCGTAACCCACCGCAAGGTGCAAGAAGCACTAGTGTTGCTAAAAACTTAAACATTTTCTGAACAGTGCTTGTGAGGAATCGATGGTTCGTAATCTTATATCAGCACTAACTCACTGTCCACTAAAAGTTATTTTAGAAATGTTAGCCGTTGACGGGAAATACAAATTCGCAGCTGCGACAACGCACGACCCCGAACTGAATGGAGATCGGTGGCGTGCCGGTGGCTTTTAAATTCTTTCCGGCTCGTGGTGGAAAAGGTTTCTTCTTTGGGAGGGTGGATCACTTAGCAGGTTTAAACGAGTTTTGCTTGGTGCTTATAATTTGAACTTTGGTTCCGTGATCTTATGAGTGCAATTTAGTCATCCTGTTTATGAATTTCCTTTTTTTTTTCTCGAGCACAATACCCTTCATCTCCGAACCAGTTACATCCTCCAAAAAGATAAACCCACACTAATGATCCCGTATGTATATTACTACTTTCGGAAATAATGTATCTCATGAACTGATCCAACCAGTTTCAACCCCCCACACTTGTCTTTAAAGGATTGCCCTTCTATCTCCTCTTACTCCCTCCCACCCGCATTTCTCCTTCCGTTATACGAATTTGGCTTAGTTTGGTGCAAATTTGGCACTTAAGTGCGTTGATTTTCACGATAGACGGTTTGTCTCCTATCGTTGATCATTATCATCGCCGACCGGTAAACTGCATATGCTAATTAGCCGGGGCCGTTTTTGGTTATTTTCGCTGACGCCACCAGAAGAATAAAACCGACGACGATTGCGACCGATGACAGAGGGAAAACAAGCAACTAGTTCCTGACTTTTGAATGAAATTTGAATATTTCTGTCACAAACAAAACGGAACCATATGCTGGTTGTTTGTTTGTATTCTTGGGGGTCCGATCGTTTTAGTCCGATTTTATGGTTGACTTAATCGAAAGCGAATTAATTATGACTACATGCGTATCCTGCCTCCTACCGCCAACCCCCTCACCCATGGACTGATCGGGTCGGGTTGGCAAAAATGTTGTATGGAACTGTCAATATCCGACCCCAATCAAATCGACATCGGAATGAACTTGAACCTGCGTGTTGTTAGAGGAAACGGAAGAGTTTTACGGCTGTGCGAAGTTTAAGATTGTTTTTCGGAATTTTATAGTGGACTAGTTGTGACGTTTCTCACGGTGATTTATAGACTGGGTTGAAGTCGTTGGTGAGAGAGGGAAGGGTATCGGTTTTGGTAACAGAAGCATACACACGTGTGAGATCATTAATTCTGATGTGGGTTCTAATCGCGGGTTCTATAGGAAAAAAATGTCCAATGCTACAGCGGTGAGATGATCTGGCAGATCTGGCGATGGAATTGGAGCGATCGGGGGTCGGACGGAATTCGCAATGCTCTGTTTGTCTGAAGCTTTTGCGGCCCGGTTTGTTAAAGATAAACAAGAAGCAAATTTACATTTTGAGGCTTCAATACGGGATTCTATTTGGAGTAAACATTTGCGCATGATTTTTAAAGTAGCCACATCCTATTTGAGATGAATGTGTGGATTCTATTCTAGGAATTCAAGGGGGAAATTTTAGCATTTGACTTGGTAATTCGTGAATTAGTGTTTAAAACAGATTGACCTAATTTGTGATCCGCATTTGATGAGCTACTTAAATTTTGGTCCACTTCAAGGGCTATCTACATTTGCCAAGGGTGGCGTGTTTTTACGTAGGACTACGTCTGTGATTTCTATATGGGGGTATACTTTGTGAAAACCAAAAATGGAACATGTAACAAAATTATGAAAGATTTTGAACGTTCATAGCTCAGATGCCCCTCGACCAATTTCAATAATTTCATCACCAATCGATCAGATATATTTCTACCCTTCTGTTAAATTTAAGACTTTATCATTTTTTTTTTGTTTCCAAAAGGTCACTTATTTTTTTTCCTTGATTTGTTTTCCGTCGATCTTGTTTTCCGTGCTGAGCACCAATGCTACCGACGCCACGGAGGCAGCTCCCACACCTGGACCCTGAATCGGGGACCAACGGCTTTACTTCCCTTCCGAAGGAAGGCGTGATCAGTGATGTTATGCCTCAGAACACTCCGGCGGCACCGTCTGGGATTGAACTCAGGCCTGCTGGGGTGAGAGGTAATCACGCTTACCACTACACCACCGGCGCCGCTAAAATGTCACTTTTGAAAATTGCACGAATGTGCAACTGTTTTTTCCCTCTGTTTGGGACATAACACAACTGTGACCAGTAATTTGATCTATTGTAGTTTATCCATCACTATTGAAAAATGATGCAATATTCGGTTTTGATACAGTTGTCATTCTTACCTTCATCTCAAGGAATCGATTCTTATTGAAAGGTCCCGCTATTTATACCTTTCGGAGTGTTGGAACACCCTCCAAAGGCGCGCCCCTTTGTCAGTCATAATTGGATTCCTTAGCAACAAACATAAGCAATAACACCGATAATGACCATGCATCAGAACCCTAGTCTTAACCACTTCAAACTAGGGAACAACGAATAGAAGATTAGTAATCACATAGATGAAGACTAACTAACTCATTTGTTCCTGGTTTCAAGATCATCCTTGGTGGACAAAGCCGAGTCTTGTCACTATCAACAAGGCATAAAAAGTAACAAGGACTAAGATGTGTTCCTTTGATTGCTGAAAAATCATCTTCCCCTACGTTGAAGTAGTCAAGACTAAGAATCGGTGGTAGATCTTACATCCCGTAACGTACCACGAAAAGGCGATCTACCTACGTTACGAGGCAAGTGCAACTGTTGCTATGATAATTAAAATTATCACTGATTACCAGCGAAAAACGATTCCCCTACCACAGATTTCAAAGTTGTATTCCATCCGGTCTCACCAAACGGTTTTAATTCAACCACTGCGTGGTGAGTTTTGGTGTTCTCCAGTACACAACGAAAGGTTGCCTGCGAGCTGCAGCCCACATGAGCATCCATAGAATTAGTAAGAAGCCACACCGCTATTGACCGGAATCAGTAGCTCTGCGTGAGTCACTGTGGTCCATCTATGTCAAGCACGTCATACTAAAGAGCAGTGTTGGGAAAATATCAAAAAATCAAATCTCACCAATGCCCTAGATCACGCATGATTTTCGTAAACAAAAATCAACAAGCAAACAACTAAGGTTGATATAGCAAGCTATGATATCGCAGCTCGGAATATCAAGCTAACAAAACTCACCAGCTGCAAATCTCAACAAACTGTGGTGAGATTGAGTTTCATGATTTATGCTTTACATCCCAACGTAAACGAAACTTCCATAACGGCTGGCAGCAGTCACTTCGTGTCTGCCATCGGTGAACAGTAAAAAGAGATAGCAAACTATACTTTCTCTTTCTTAGAAAACGATGAGCAACGCAATCATTTTTGTGTCGAGTCAACTCTCTGTGAATAGTCTCGCAATATCAAAGGAGCTTGTAAAATCAATATCAAGCATGATATTTTGTTTCAATATCACCCGTGATATTGAGACCATATGAGAGCAGAAAAATATCATTTGATTGATGATATTTCCATCATTGCTAAAGAGTATAAACAGAGAGAACCCCGCTCAAATTCCTATTCCTAAACAAAACACAAGCTCCTGCTGCAGTTAGCAAATAAGATTTATTATATAAGACCACGTAGTCCTACGTCACCATTGCGCACAACTCCATAAGGCTGTCCCTTGTAGTTTTTAATTAGGTGAGCAATTCTAGGCCAAGTAGCGAAAAACTACACAAATTTTTAGGTTTTACATCTCATACTTTTGAAACTTCGCATAATTGTTCGCAAGGGGCAATGAACCAAGTTTGTGCTGGAATTTCGCCATTTTGACTAAAACCTATTTTTTTTTAAATCGGTTGTTCGATATTTTTCAATAAATCATAACTCGTAAACAGTATTGATTTCTTATACTTAAGCACCCATTCTAGCTTGATTTAATGCTTTTTGTAAGCTGTCGAATGCTTTTTGTAAGTCTAGAAGAGGAACTCCAGTTGAGCAGCCTTCAGATTTGTTTGATCGAATTAAATTGGTAGCTCTTAAGAGTTGATGAGTAGTTGAATGCACATGGTGAAATCCAAACTTCTCATCTGCAAAAATTGAGTTCGTATTGATGTGAAGCATCATTCTATGTAAAATTATCTTTTCAAAAAGTTTACTTATTGAAGAAAGCAAACTTTTTGGACGGTAGCTAGAAGCTTTAGCTGGATTTTTTTCCGGCATCAAAATTGGAACAACTTTTGCATTTTTCGATTTATCAGGAAGGTATGCCAAATGGAAACATCTGTTAAATAATTTTACCAAGAAAGAAAAGGTACTCTCTGGGAGTTTTTTGATGAGGATATAGAAAATTCCATCATCACCTGGAGCTTTCATATTATGAAACTTTTTAATTATAAATCTTACTTCGTCTAAATCAGTCCCCCAGGAATCATCAAAAATATTTTCCCGGGAGAAAATATTCAGATAATCCCGAGCAACCTGATTCTCTAGAGGACTAGTAAGACCCAAACGGAAATTATAGGAACTCAAGAATTGCTTTGTAAGATTCTGAGCTTTTTCCCAATTTGTGATCAAAATTTTACCATCTCTTAAGCGCTGGAATAGCCTTTTGAATTTTTTTCAAAATTTTTGTTTGTTTCCAAAAGGGCTTGGAACTCGGGTCTAATTTAGAAACATTATTTTCAGAAGTTTTGTTCCTCAGGGCAGACAATCGCAAATCATGCCAGATAACTTTCATGGCAGGATCGCGTATTCTCTGATATTGCCTCCTACGGACATTTTTAAGGCGGGTCAAGGGCTGAAGATCGTCATCTATTATAATTGAATCGGATTTAACCTCGCATTTTGGTACTGAGTCAGCCCTTGCATCAACTATAGAAGCAGTCAAAGATTCAAGAGCATAATTAACATCATTCACTCATTCCGTTCCTGTTCCGGGGTATACGGAACCGTCCATTCCACTCGTCACAGCGTAGCCGGAAATCTTGTGATTAAACTTCGACGTCACACGCGAACTTCATCTTTCGACTGGATCAAAA